TATATATATATATATATATATATATATATGCATAATTCCTATAGGATTATTATATTTTTTTTCAACTTTATTTAAAAATTTTAGTTTATTTTCTTTTATGATTTCTAAAATAATAGGTTTATTTTTAATTTAAAAGATTTGGGATTGATCTTCAAAAATTTTGGGCAGGCCATTGTTTTATTGATAACAGGCCAAGAGGGAGGATGGCCCAATGAGTACGCACGCGATGAGATCGAATGACGCAACCCGCAACGATGCAGGCCAACATCAAGGCCCGTGTTTGGTACGGCCTGCCAATATCCCGCGCAAACGTACCTGGTAAGGTCTGGCGACTATCCCTTCACCTTCAAACTCTCAACACTGTCATTGTCCTTTCTCAACCAATAACAGTCAGCCGTGTCTCATCACAATAACCGTACTCTTCTTCTTCGAAGCAACAGTCACCCATATCTCATCAAGTAGCCATTTGAAGAAGGAAGGGACTTCATTGAACTGGCATGGTTAAAGAAGGTACTATTTCTGACTAATGATCATCATAGCCTGATTTCTGTCATTCATCTAGGAAAAGTTTGAAATTTGTGAAAACAAATCTTGGAGAAGAAGTTCAGCAACCATATAATCCCTTAAATCACTGTTCAATAACCATTCGGGCTTGTCCCAAGCCACTGTTCACCTTTATCTTCTTTGCTCCAAGAAAGCATCACAGTCCCCTGTTCCTTTTATATGGCTATTATTAAAACCCAGCAAGAAGAAGAGAAGGGGAATCTGATTCTATGCCTCCTGTAACCACCCATGAACAAACCAATGCTAGTGAGGAGGAGCCCATTGATGCCATTCCTTTGAGGCATGTCCCTTTCGCTAGAACCAGACCTCAACCCTCCACTCAAACCCAAGCACAAGCCACTGTGATTGTGAAATCTGAACCACAACCTTTTCCACAATACCAATTCGGCCCCAGAATGACCAAAAGCAGAGCCAAGGGTCTGATCAATTTCAAACCAGTGAAGCAACCAAAGGGGACTGTGTTCAATGTATCTGATGATAGTGATTCACTACCTGAGAGTCCTGTTGCTAAAACCAGTACATCCAGACCAGCACAAGCAGATCATGCTTCCTTGAACACATTGGCAGATGCAGCAACTGAAATGAACACTCAGAGTATACCACCAAGCATTACAGAAAGACTCCAAACAGGTTTGAGAATCACTAGACGTTTAACTATGGATTTGTTATCTAGTTTTCCTGTATACCCTTAAGCTAGTGTGGGTTTTATGTTGAGGAAATCTGTGGATGAGGCCATCGCTACCTCTAATGAGGTATTGGGCCTAAGATCAGCTTCTTGTGCACCCACCATATCCATGATCCACTCTCAGCCTTCCATGGCTGCTCAAACACCAAAAAAGGGAAGTTCATCCCTCAAGCATTGTGTTAGTGCTGCTTTGGCAGCCATGGATAGAATGATAAAGAGAGAACCAGAGTGTGATCCAGCCCCTGCCCAACCACCTGTTACCACCACCTATACACCCACCTTCACTAGAAACATACCCTTTGAGATCAACTTCATGAACTCACCATGCTTCACCTCTGTTTCGGTTCCATCATCTACTATAGAACCTACACTATTCAACCATGCATCCACATCCAAAACACCACCTGTTGAGACAACCCCTGTTGAAACAATTCACAAACCAACCCATGTCCAAGCAATGCCTAAAACAGGCCTTGTTGAACCAATACAGAAACCCACTCCTGTTGAAACCACCACCACCAGCCCTCTACCCTCACCAAACCAGCCCACAACCACACCTTCCACACCCACTGAACCTATCCCTTTGCCACAAACTGTATCCATCCAAGAACTAGACTTTGTCTTAGGCCTATCACCCACTAATCCAAGCCTTACACCCTTTGAACACAATGAAGACCCCTCTGACCCTCAAAACACACCTGTCACTCAAACACCACCACCATCACCCCATTCCACTCAACCATTCATGCCTAGCCCAAACCAACCCACTAGCCCTTTACACTCTGGGACTCATGACTACTATGAGGGTGCACATTCTGCCCACCATAGTCCTGTGCATAGCAGCCCACATATGGGGCAAGAAAGAGAGGAGGTTGATACAGGGGCTAGTTTGAGAAAGAAAGTGCCAAGGAGGAAGAGAATGACCAGAATGGAAACCAGAAGTTCAAAGAGGAGAAGAGAGGACAGTGAGAGATTAGAGACTGAGAAAAGGGCACCAAGAAGAAGAAGAAGGACATAGCAACAATTTGAGGAAGGGCCAGGTATATTTCTGAAGCCCAAACACTTGTTTAGCACACCCCTTGCAAGGAAAACTTACTTTCAATTTTCTGAGAAAGTAGGGGTGGTGCAGAAGGGTTTTACACAACAACTATTGATGGCCAATCCTAACATCAAGGCCACAATAGACTCTTTGGGTTGGGAAACWYTATGTGACATTCCTAACCAATACAATCTTAGTTGGGTTARGGAATTTTACACTRAGGTAGCAGTCACTGATGGGGTAAATTTGAAAGTGASAAAGACCCCTGTCTCATACTCACCCACTGCCATAAATGACCTACTAGAGCTCATCCCACCTTCATACTCTGAGCTAGATAGGTTAACTGCTGGGTGCACTGATGAAGAGCTTGAGTTGATCTTAGCTACAATAGCTAAGGAGGGGGCTGTTTGGAGTTTCAAAGGGAGGGCTAGGCTGCTGAAAACCCAATATCTGAAGCCTGAGGCCAATTTATAGTTTTACTTCATGAGGCATACAATCCACCCACTAGCCATGATACCAATCTGTGCCTAGAAAGAGTTCTAATCCTTTACTGTATCCTAGAGGCTAGGCCATTTAATGTTGGGAGGATGATGTGCTCCAACATCAAGGCATGTGGGGAGAGAACAAATGGCAAGTTACTATACCCTTCATTGATTCATAGACTGTTGCAAAAGGCCCAAGTCCTATCTTTTCCCAAAGATGTGATGTCAATGGAGAAAACCTCCATAGACAAGAAAAATATGGATAGATTGATGAGGGTGAATGCAAAGGTACAACCAGATGCACCCACCTCCTCCATGGCAGCTCTAAAGGCTGAATTGATGAAGGCCATGGATGATCATGCTAGCAATTTGAAGAAAGTGATAGTGAAGAAGCATCATAAGTTGATGAAGAAAGTATATGACTTGAAGAAGAAAGTTGACATTTTGAAGAAGGAAAGGGTACAATAGGCTGAGTACAAGACACAGAAGGAGAGAATGCTTAGAGCTGCTGCCAAACATGGGAAATCAAAGAATACAGTCAAGCTCCCACCTCCACCAAGATCCATCTTGCTGCAGCATTCAGACTCTCCTACTCAGTCTGAGTAGGACAGGTTCTACACTCTTAACCTTTGTACATATTCCCATTTTAGTTATGCATGATCATTTAGCATGAAGTTTGTTGTTTTAAAAAGTCTTTCGCTATTTTGATGTTTCTATATATAGTTAAACTGTTTTTAACTTTCATTTGTTGTTTTCAAGTACCTCATGTAGTAAGTTTGCTGTTTTAAAAAGTCTTTCGCTATTTTGTTTTGTTTTTTTATTAAGAACCATTTTAGTTTCATTTTGCTGTCTAGAGCATAAGCCTTCTGCTGACTTCCATTTGCTGTTTCTAGGTAGCATTTTAGTTTCATTTTACTATTTGAGCATAGGGTAATGCTATATTTATAGTATGACTGTCCAATTTGCTGTTTTTAAGAATCAGCCTCTGCTGTTTCTAATTTTGATTTGCTGTTTTAAACTTGAGCATGCACCTTTCATGCATTTTGATTTGCTGTCTTTTATTTTGCTATTTTTGTGCATATGATTTAATACTCAAATTTGCTGTTTAGACCTTGATCAGTCCTGCTCATGTATTTCTATTTGCTGTTTTGAATCTCATGCAGCCCTAAGATATGACCTTTCTTTGCTATTCTAATCTTTTAGGAAACAGGTTTTTAGCCAAACTTTGACTGTGTTGGGATTGTTAATTATGAATTTGTTGCTTTCTAGGCAGTCCCTTTCATGACTTTTATTTGCTGTTTTCCATTTGCTGTTTTAAACATAAATTTTTGATGTTTCTCTTTAAATTTGCTATTTTTTTAAGGCTAGTTACTACCTTGGTTTTGTTGTCTTAACCTTCTTGTTTTAATTTGTTGTTTTTAATGCAGTCCTTCTCTTAATTTTTCTTTGATGTTTGCAGCATGACCTATCTCATTTCATTATTAACAGTCTTGATCATTTAGGCATATCGTTTGTTGTTTCATGATTGTTTTCAAACAGTAGGGCTGCTGTTGCTGTGAGGGCTATTATGAATGTTTTGAGGGAGAGCCAAACTGAATGCATTAAATTTAATCTCCCTATGCAGGCTATTTCATGAGAAAATAATGGCAATCCCATTGTTTGAACTCATATGGCCATGTTGTTTGATAATGCAGTCCTCTGGTTGACTATTTTGGTTTAAAGCTCATCCTTGGTACCACATCTTAACTCTAGGGTCAATTTGACTTAAGAGTTGGACTGTTGGTTTTGTTTAAATCTTTCACTTGAGTCTTTGAGTCCTTTTATTTTCACAAGATGACCAAGTCACACTTGTGACTTCTCATCTTTGCTTTTCTGTTTCATTTTAGGATTTTGGGCACTGATTTTAAGTAGCATATCTTCCCTTAGCCTTTTATGCACCAAAAATAGAATAAAAGGTGAATTTGTTGTACAAATGTTTGAACTTGATGCCATAGCCACAATAATCCAAAGCTTAACTATCTTTGTCTTAAATTGAGCCTATAAAACTAGCCAACCATTTCCAAAGCTTTCACTTGATTCAACTTGGGCCTTCATTTCATTTTGACCAATTTGTAGCCTTCATACACTCACAATGAGGACATTGTTTCCCTTAAGTTTGGGGGAAGGTCTAAAAAAAAAGTACCAAACACTATAGACATCATGAAACATATGCATTAAGACCAAAAGACAAACAAAGGAACATAGTTTCATGTCTTGTGCATACAAAAGAGTGTCAAAGTATACCAGAATATTTGAAAAGGACCAAAGTGTCCAAAATACTTCAATATGAGATGCATAGCAGTAAAATTGTGCTATGGAGTGAAAAAAAAAGTGAGAAAAGGTAAAAGGCATGCATTGAAAAAAAAACAAATGCAAAACCCAATTCAAAGTCTCAATCTATCTGTTGAATCTAGTATATCAAAAGAAATATAGGCTAGCTTATGGTTTGGTAATATGAAGGATTTAAGTTTGGGGGAGCTAGGTTTATGAAGGGATATGGATATCAAGCATCAAGTCATGAGTAGAACACTTTCATTCAATTTTTTTTGGAAAATATGCATACTTTGGCTATGGAATATTTATGCTCAATTTTTTTAGTTTATTAGAACTTTGAGTCTTTTAATTTGTCATCTTCTGTTGTTTGGGGACAAACAACAATTCAAGTTTGGGGGTGTGATAAGTGTTAATTTATTAACCTTATTACATCATTTTCTTAACCATTTTCCTTTGTTTTATTTGCCCATTAGTGTCCTAATTGAGTCTTTTTATGCTTTTTTCATATATTAGTAGTTACATAATATATCTAATGATAATTCCCTGTTTTTGCAGGTTTTTGATCATTTTTGGGCCCAGTCCTACGGCAGTCCTACAGGACCAGGAGTGGCAAGGTCCTATAGGACCTGTCCGAGAGCTGGAAATCTGCTTGGGCCATGGATAGATGGGCTGGTCCATAGAAGAGGCGTGGTCAACAGCCTTGGGCTCGGTCAAAGCCCAGTTTGAAGAGGCTTTTTGTCTTATTAGTTGGCACCCACTTTGGGACCTCCCTTGGCCTATATAAACAAGCCTTATGCTTTGTTTTAACTTACTTTTGGATAATTTTACGTACTTTGAGAGATTTATTGATAATCTTTTGTAAGTTGCTCTCAAGAATATTGCTTTCGGTTCTAAGCTTTCGGTTCTAAGCTTTCGGTTCTTATTGTTTGACTTTTCAAGAACCGATTTTTGTAAGTTGTGACTTCATTGTCAAAGTTTAATTTACGTACTCGTATTTAATCTTCATCTTCTTTATGTTCCAAGTTAAGTTAAGTTTTCTTACTTTTATTTCAAGTTACGAATTAGTCGATCGTTGTTGCTTTACATCGGATCTCGTCCTTTGTGGCTCACTGCTAATTTACGTAGTTTAAATAAACAGTTTTTACGACTTTGCAAGCAATCTTTTGGTCTTTGTAACGAAACTTGTTTTGCAAGTTTCATTACTTGACTTGCAAGTTTCCTTCAAAAAGTCAACCCCATTTCCCAAGGTTTTCATGTCAAGTACCATTCTCATCAAAGTACCATCATTCATCCCATCAAAGTACCCTTTGTCAATCATCATGTACTTTTCTTCATAATTATTAGATTTATATTAATTAGTATTATTTACTAATTAATAATTTATATTTCAATCTTTTATATTTCAGTTCTTTACATTTCAGTATTTACATTTCAGTCTTTATATTCCAGTCATTTACATTTCAGTCCTTTACATTTTAGTCCTTTACATTTCAGTCTTTACTTTACTGCAATTTACATTTCTGTCATTTAATTTCCAGTAATTTACTTTCAGTCATTTATATTTCAGTCATTTAATTTCCAGTACTTTACATTCCAGTATTTCCATTTCCTGTAATTTACTTTCTGCAATTTACTTTTCMGTCTTAGTTATTTATTTTTCAGTCCTTACATCCTTCGAGAGAAGAAACCGAGCGATGATAGGCTAACGCCTTAGCTTGGGGTGTAATGGGAAATTAAGACCAAAGCCGATGTGAAAGTACAAAGGTGTCTTATTAGCATTATAGTCTACTATTTATTTCAGGTGCTTAATATTTCATTTGATGATTACATTAAAATTAATTGACAACTAATTTTGTGTATAAAAATGTATTGACTTTCAAAACATGGGGTAATAGGAGAAGGCTATAAATAGCTTTAGTATCTGACAAAAATGCTATACTCCTACGGTGTAGGATGGTAACAATGTGTTGTGCTAGGATTCACGACATCTAACATAAATGATATCGTATCGATAGCACGTTGACCGGTGTGTGCTCTTGGGAGGCCATCTGACCCGATAGTTGATACTGTCATAGTAATATAAAATCATTTATTGATTTTAGATAATTATKAYAGGAATGCTATGTCACCTTTTTACTGAATCATTTGTTTAATGTCTTAATCAACTGTTGCACTATGTGCTTC